TGGCTTGATGTACATAAGATTCCGATATGAGAGAGAAAATATTTAACATGGAAATTGGAAAATTAACTAAAGTCCAACTCGTTCTTGTTTCCAAGGGAAAATAATGCCTGTCACGAAACTAGCTAGCTAGTGAAGAAACCAATGGAGCACACAAGTAATTAAATTTTGAAATTTTTAACATTGATTCCTATAAATGGTCAAGTCCTTGTCCTCCCTTATATATGCGCACACACATATAGTAATTAATTAATTAATTAATTGTAATGCTTTGTTAATTACATCGGCCAGCTTGATGAATTGTCCTTGTAGGTTAAGCGTTATTATTGGAGTTTACGTGTCCACAAAGAAAGTCTCCAAAAACGACGTAGGAGAACTGGACAATCATACACCCACACAAAACCTTTTATTCAAATCAAAGCTTCGTGAATTGCACAGAACTATATAACGTTAACGTTTGTTTGGTTTGGTTTGATGAAATAATATTCAAATTCATCGTAAGCCACTAATAATTAGCCTGCTTGCTTCATCTACCTTTCTTTTCTTTTTTTTTGGAACATAACAACCATTTGTTTGGCTCATACAAGTAAACAGCAACAAATTAATTGATGATAACCTCGTTTTCAAATCAATTTGGCTCCTCAATTTCCCATCGCACACATGTGAAATTTCAAAGATATACGCGTCCTCATTTCGAACTTTGGTGGAACCTAAACGATAAATCAAATCCAGAAAAATAATAGAAGAAAATGGAATCTGAAAAGGACGAATCGATAAATGAGATATTAATATCTTATTGAAGAGAGACATGAACCAGGCCAGAAGATGAGTATCGAGAAGCCTTCTAATCACAAAATCTTTCAATCTGCTAATGAACAATTCTTTGAATTAAACAATACGTACAAAAAATGATCGAACTAATCACACTTGATTTTATATGTATATAGTTTCAAAACTTACAGCCTCAAGGCGATGAAGTGAATCCTAAAATTTCATTCGCATGTACCTCGTGTGTGAGGGAGATGTGACTAATTAGTAATTATTATTAGAAGCACTAGTGCAATTATACATAGTTGAAAATTAAAACAAAATTGAAGTTCTCTTGTTGCTGTGCAATGAATTGTCGTTTTAGGTAATTGGGGGGTTGCCATATCGTTATCTCAATTCTAATAATATGACTTTTGTCTTGTATAGGCCTGCTTTTATAAGGAGGTTTCAGCTTTCAATTTTTGTATAGCTAAAGTTAAACTCCAATCTCTATCCTTTAACTGTTTCTTTGATTTAAAATACAAACCCACCAATCAAAGTCCCTTTTAGAGCAAGAGGTTAAACGCCAAATAAAAGATGAGAGAAAGAACCATACTGAATTGGATTCAAAGTTGGCATTATTATAACCTCTATTATGAAGCTTTTGAACATAGTCATCAATTAGGGGTTGGAAAAAAACGAGAGATTAATAAACTTGGCGAGAGCAAGCTTAATTAAGCTGTGCTTGGATTTGGAATTTTCTTGTTTGGATTTGGCCTTGTGGAATCCCTTCCACAACACGTCGTGAATCAATATTTTTGTGATTTGTGGAAATGGCATCCCATGATTTAATTTTTTTTCACACCTGCCTCCTTTGACTTGATCCCACAAAACCCTAATTGCGCGCCGTGTCGATGAAGCATTAGTTTTTTATTAAGCATTTCTTAATTAAAACACATGTTGATCATTGATGTTTGATCATCAACCAGTTTCCATCTTTCGGATACATGTTGGGTTGCTAGAGTAGGACATTGCAAAGTGTTCAAGGATTTAAGGGCATGGTAGGGACCATGCAATATAATGAGACGTGCTTAAGTTTTGTTTTCAACTATTTTTTTTTATCAAAAAATTTATCAGATGATTATTGCCTTTCTCTAACCTGTCATTCTCACCCATAATAGATGATGGGCTTAGGTAGTAATGATAAATATCAAATTGCTTCATACATATGTGTATGATCATGTTATAATAATTCCTTCCACAAATAATACTCCATGCCATATTTGATACATATACTTATTTTATTTTTCTTCTTATCTCTTGCATTGACCTAATTAAATGACTTATATTATACTTTAAAAACAGGTGGAGAGTAGCTAGCCATTAGCCGGTGCCATTTAGAAGTTCACTGGTCTAAAGAAGCCAAGAGATATTGCCTCATCACTTATAATATGCAAGACACACACACACACTTGATGACCCTTATAACTTAATTAAAATATATATTACACCTCAACCTTAATGGGTTTTTCTCGATACACACCTCACTAACATTTTTATAAAACAAAAGATTCAAAGAAGAACTCAACGAAGTCACATATGATGGCTTCTGAAGGCTTTGGAATTGATGGCTAATTAATTAAACAATCCAACAATTAGCTATAAGGCTGAAAGGTAATAATCAAGTCTCTGAATTTTGCAGATCAGACTTGTAAATCAAGCAGTAATTAAGAACCTAAAGGTATGAAAAGGCATGGCGAAAAAAACAAAGGGAAAAAGTTTGGTATGAAGAGATAAATACAGTACGTTTAATCACTATAAAAAAATCGAACAAATTAAATCATGCATCTTGCCTCTCTCTTGATCTTGACAAATCCAGTACATATAGCCACTTGGTTCTCATATTTTATGGGGTAAATATACAGTTATGTAGAAAAGTACAAAAGAAGAGTCATTGCATCAGAAAGCACAATGAAGAATCCTTGGGTCATGTCTTAAAACAAGAATGAAGAGTAGGGGAAATAAATAAATCAAACATGCTAATCAATGGCCAGTGTAGTTATAACTTGAGCTGAGTTTGGAGGTCTATACAGATAAGTGAAGGAAGAGGCATCATTAGCCAAAAAAAAAAAAGAAGAGTATCTTTATCTGATGCATCAACTACCACGAGGTGAGATTCGTCACTAAATATATTTTAGAACAGTGTGCTCAACCATGTGGCCCCCTGGCGCTTGACAGGCATAGATCACTATGGCGTTGGGACTTATTATTATTATTAGTGACATTTTCTTTTAAAAAAGATATATATGATCATATGGTGAAGTGAAGGGTGTAATTCATAGCACACATGCACAGGTTATAGACCAAAAACCAATGGCATGGGAATGGCATCAATCAGAAACCCTAATAAGACCGAACTGTACCAATTCACGATTATAGAGAGAAGTCATGATTCGTATGGCCAACAACCCACGATTCTTGGCTGCACATTCACACATGGCCCTGCTTTTCAAAAAGACGAATATCTAACCTTACTATCATATCCCACAACCAACTATTTTTATTATTCTCTCTACTTAATCCCACATCTCTAAGTAATACCCAACACAACACTCTGTTATTCACACATATTTATATCTTTTCTTCAAAAATAGTGATCCTTTGTTTAGGGAAGTTTCCCATTTTTTATTGTGATCTATCCCGGGCTTTTGCTGTATGTTTATCTCAGTAATGTGATTAATGAATTTACAATACATGGTTTCATATAGAAACACATGAGACCCAAGAGTATGTTTGGTTTGACATTGATTTTTATAGCTTCTAATATCAAACTAAACATATTGCTGGTCTTTCATATGGACGGTGGAAAGTGAAATTTCTCTAACGTAAACTTAAACATATCCAGAATAGTCTGCTAGTTTTCCTCATGTGGACGGTTGAAAGTGAACTTTTTATCGAGAGAGTGAAAGATAAAAAACCGGTGACTAAGAATGGAGAAATTGGCACCACGTACACCCATGTTGAAAAGTAAAATAAAAAAAGTCAGATAATGCTGATTACATGATGAGCAATTCCCACTTTGGATTGGCTCGTCTTTTCTTTTAATGGCTCTTGTTATCCTTTTTTATGGTGGGCTAATAATATTAGTCTATACTCCATAACGAAGCAAGCTCCTGTGAGAAAGAATCATTACCATGATCAAGGGAATGAGGACATTGAGCGCCATAAACGTGGGTGGGTTTGATAAAAGCAAATCAACAAAGACTCTTTCAAAAGTTGATGCTTGAGATGAGTAGAGCCATTGAAACTTAAAAAAAAGTGTTAACAGCCTTGTTTCAAGGGGAAAATAATGTCATTGAAAGTTTCATACCCACCTAGAAAGTAGTTGCGGATCGAGATATATGTAGGAGAATAAAGCTAGAAAAACAAAAGCACTTGCCCATTAAGAAACCCACAAAGCTTTATGGGTGCCCAAAAGCTTCAAGGACAAAATAAATACATAAAATATGCAATTTCTGTGGCACTTGTCACAACGGCTCACGCCTTTGGATCCCCATTTATGTTCTTTTCCTGTACAAACCAAATAGTCGTTTGAAATGATCCTTAATGTATTTATTTATTTCTTCCAAAGTCAAATTAGGTTTTATCAAAATGTGTGGATGTCATAGCCTATTTTTTGAAGCTATAATTGAATTATAAGAACCGAGCTTAAAGTGGATCAAGCTATCACATTTCTTTTTATGTATAATAACATCCATAATTGAGGTTTTTCACGTATTGCTGTCCAGCGTTAAAGAAAGAAAATGAGTGAGGAGCACATATTCCAATGGGGTTTCTTCACTTGAAAGATGGGGAACAGGGCAAACCAGAGACAGTCGGTATACGTTACGAGCTGCTTTTTCATCACTTTCATTGGATATTGTCATTGACCCATTATCTTCGCCCAATGAGGCTGTCCTAAGTCATGTAAGCAGCTTTACGCATTCCGTTCAGAAGTCAAAATTTAGACAAGTCAGAAAAACCAGAGAGCCTACGGAAGTGTTCTGGCATTGAATGAGGGAGACGCTAACGGGGACCTTTCTCTTTCAAGTTTCAACTTCGAAGGGACCATTCGGCAGACACAATCACTGTTCCGCTCAAGTGTACATACATTGTGGACTGTGCTTGCTTGTTTTGCAGTCAACCACAACCAAAATGAATTTGTATTATTTCCTATCTAGGGATACTGATTCAATTTGGTGAGGAGAAAAATAGCATAAAGGCAACTAACAATGCAGCGTCATTCTGCAGATATACCCCATTACAGCATTAGATGCAATACATAAGTAGAAAACGGGACTGTAAATGAGACAATATGAGGTAGCGGGCACCATATTATGATGAACTAAATTATACTACATTTCTATTTATCTTGCCGAGGCCTAATTATTGACAATTCTAGTCTCACAAGTCACAACAGCTCTGCATGCTCAAGGGAACAAAAGTGTTTTTCTATAGTGTTGAGAGTTTCTTGATCAATTTCCCCCGCAACAATTAATTTTGGAAAGGAATAATCTAATTCTTTCGCTACTGCCAAATCACCTTCCACAACCTCCTTCTTGTGCGTTTCTTTCTCTTCAACTTCCAATTTGCTTGAGCCTTTGCCCAGGTTGAAGAGTTGAGATTTCAGCTCCAAGCATGATTTCAAATCCTCCTCGCTCCGAGCTTTATTAATTTTATCACTAAGATCACTTGTATCTGATAACTTTTCAGGCCTCAAAATTTTTGGCCTTTTTGATGCTTCATTTGGTTCTTCCACGTTACCCTCGACAGCACCCTTCTGAAGCTTCTTTAGTCCCTCATCCACAATCTGTCTTACTCTATTTCTCACACTACTTGTTGAGTTAGATCTTATAAGCAGTTTCAACCATGGGATGAAAATCCCATTGTTCCCCATCGAAGTAGGGTTAGACGCCAAGGCAGAGGATGCATTGTCTTCCGGGGACTCCACAGATGAAACTTCATCCAATAAAGCTACATTTCGCATGTATCTCTGGAAAGCATCATTTTCTACTTCAATGTTCCTCTCCGTGTACTCCTTTAACGTGGAAAATCTCCATTTATTAATTATTGAGGCATCCTGTAATGATTCTTGTCACTTCAGTACAGCATACGGCTACCCACAAAAAGCTCTCAAACAAGCACATTTTTAGATTTAGATGTACCTTCCTAGTTATTGGCTTCCTCGACTGAAGCGAAACATGCAAATTATTGAACTGGGCAAAACTGTTGGAAAGCTGTCGAAGGGATGCAACTCTACTTGCATTCCTGAAATACATATATTAATTCAAAAAGTCATCCATCAATAAGAGTTGGAAATGCATTTCAATTGCTAAATATGCAACTCAAGAATATGTGAGTTGATATAATATAGCCCAGAAGCTAGCCAGAAAGACAATTGAAACCTCATGAATAATGTTGCATCAAGAAACTGGTATGATATTGAAAAGGGTGTTGGACAGAAAGGACATACAAAAGATGGCATTTTAGAAATAATATATGCATACATATAAAAGATATAAAAAGCATCAAATAATTTCTAAAGGCAGAAACCTATTGCGGCAAGATTCTAGTAAGATATCTTGAGAGTTTTGAAACAGAGAAACCACTTGGAGCTATTACTGAATAACATAGAAATCCAGAAATGCTTTTAGAGGCACTTCTGAACTATTGGGGAGAGAAAAAATCTTGCCTCCTAATTGTTAAGAAACTGAAAATTTAAATGTTCATTTCTGCGAAGCCAAGAATGTTTAAGAATATGAAATTATAAGGATGGACGTGATGCAAACTTTGGGAGGGGGAAGGGGCACTATGACTCAGAACTTACGAAGATGGAGATGATTCAGAGGATTGCTGATCAAGTGGAGCAGCACTAGAAGATGGTGACTTGTCAGGAATAGTTGAATTTGCTTTCAACACTGCATTTGCAAGATATAAAGGGGAAAATAAAAATTGAGTTTAAGACCCTAATAATATGGAAAATTATTTAGAGCAAAAGAATGTAAACAGATCGCCGACATAATAGCAGCATATATTTTTGTTTCTTTTTCTCAATTCATCTTCTTTTTAGGCAGGACAGAGCTTTACTTATGCTACTCGTACGCAATTGCACTTTATCCAACATGATCATCCGTAAACACTATTTGCTTTCATGAATTGATATCATCAAGTTCGAAGTTGCATGTAGGATAGGGATATACCATATTAACAGGACATTATCTTATAACACTATGACTAACGTAACTGGCAATAACCCTAAGGATAAACAACTGAGAAAAAAATTACGCCATGGTTGAGGACGCAAGATAGGTGGGATCCTCTAAGTGTGAGCTGAGAACCATGCACACAATAGTTGTTTAATGGTCAGAGGAAGAATGAGCACGTTAATTTCATTAATGACCACTGGGAGTATCAACAATAGTCCTCAAAGTGCAATGAACGCAGAGCAAATGCTAAACATCAATTAAGAGTACATAATTGGCAAAAACAATGCAGAGAAAGGAATGACAAGGAGAGATTGATATGACCGAAGGGCATTGCAAAGCCCAGGAAAATGTGAAGGGACACAGCCTGGCAAAGTGGAAGTTAGTGGGCTAAGAAACTAGTGAGTGGACCAAGTGCCAACAGATGGTGTACGGTTGCTTCGACATGAACCAAAATTACAAATTGGTTAGTCACTTTAGAAGAACAACTGAGTAGGTAAACACATAGCAAAGTGCATAAGCATGATGGATAGAAAGATAAAGTAAGCCATAGGCATACGAAGGACGAAAAGGCAACATGGTCAGGGGTAGTTTTCTCAACAATCAACCTGCCTATGGGGTTTTGGGAAAGGCAATGCCATCCTGTGCTATGTAGCCCAGTGCCTGAATCTACTATCTTAGGTTGTTTCCCAAAAGGGGGATAATTTTGTTTATATAAAACACCAAGGCTAGTTACTTAAAGCTGTCGTTTACTGGTGACTCTAAGGCCTTTGTCATAGCTGTACTCAGATGCTTCAAAAGGATGATTGCCATGGTCACAAGCTTCTCCATTTTTATTTGTCAACACTCGCCAATAAAGAACAGTTCAAACTAATTTTGGAATTCCTCAGGTATGTAATATCTAGCAAACAATGCGGGGTGCGGTTTGCCCTCCAAGGGGTGTGTTCAATTGGAAGGAGGGTGAAATGAATTATTACTTCAGCCAAATACGGAAGCCTGAAAGTTCTCAATGGTGACTTCAGGATGGCTTCCTTCCAAGAAATATGCTCAACAAACAACATATTGGCACTACTGGCTAAAACAGGGCACCCTAGCTTGGCTGAAAAATTCCCAGTGACTTCGATGAAGATTTTGATTCCTCTTAGGATCCTGTTCAGGCTCATGGCTAGTTCTTTCATGGTGACTTTAGCTTATGCAATTTTAACATGGTCCAGGATGTATCATGGGGCCATGGCACACGGTTCCAGCAAACCAAAGGGGAGTGCCTGGGGAGAGATATTGCCTAATCTAGTTAAAACATCAGAAAAGGAAATTTTGGAAAGCATGGTCTTTGTCAGCTTAACACACCATGAATATGACATGGATTTTGATTTCTTGAACAGCAACTCTTGCATGACTCAAATGGACACCTGCAACATTGACTAAGCTCATCAAAACAATATAGAATGAACGAGATCATCTCAATTTATAATGACTGTATCGTTTCCAAAAGCAATATAACTTCTATTGTTTGACCTCCTCTTTTGGAAATTAATTGTGTTTCACTGTAGGGCCACGGTGAAAGACAAATATCAAGACCAGTAATGATAGAGTGCCTGAAGACAATATCTTTGCAAACTCATTACTTAGGTCTCCTGTTGAATTAGATCCCATCCACTATGACACTAGATCCGTTGTTTTTGACAATGACCTATCACCATGTCTAACCTCAGAAAACACTCCCAATGCTATAAGAAAATTAGCTCAACCTAACTGTTGCCAGTAATTTATGATTTGTGATTCAATAAATTAGTGAGCAACTCACGCACATTATCAACAATATATTTTCCTAGAAAAAATTTAATCATAAGGGAGCAGCAGCTTGGGAAAAATTAACCATGTTTGGCAAATGCAATTGCATGCATATGCCATCATTGAAGTTTACAATGCCCTTTGAAGGACTTATAATTTTTGCTGTCTATCCTATTCTTTGTGATACAAAAATATAGTTTTATCTATCAAATTACCACAAATTTAATAAGCAGAAATGCAACTATCAAGTTCATGATGTGAGCTTACGATCTAGTGGAGTCCTCTGGGTATTAGGAACCACAGCGATACTGCTTAACCCTGGGTAATCATTAAAGATAAATTCTACGCCTGAGCAAATAAAATCTATGCGCAATATGATCAACCTTTTTTCTGAACAGTTAATTATTGATAGAGCCTAATGCTATGGTATGATCCGTGTAGATGAGCTCACTAAGCGGAATCAGATTTTTGTACCTTATTTCATCGTATTTTTATCAAAATATTCTTTTCTCAGTTTTTATTTTGTTGGTAAATCAATTTAATTTGTTTTGATGCCAGAGCTACTAGCACTATACTCTTTGGGTGCTTATCAGGCACATCTCTCGACTATTTTGCACTTCACCGCATATTGTTGATCACTAGTCCCCCAGCACCTTCAAATTCATATTTAAACTTCTCTATTTTGTTTTTGATCTCCCACAAAAAAATCGTTAGTTCCCCAAAGTTATCGCCTTGCAATACAAAGAAATTCAGACAACAGATCGGGAAGCGTGACAAAGAGAACTTACCTTGAACGAGCAACATTGCCGCATTGTTTACATTTTGGCTTATTATGCCCACGTTGGGATTTTGGTGGTGTGTCCGTGCGATAACCCAAGCTAGCAGCCAGAGTTGTTAGCTTCGCCGGGGGCGTGGCAGTGTTCAGGATCGTGTCATTGCTGTTGCTGATTGCCGGCGGCGCTGCCGCCATAAGCGCGAGCTTTGTTCTTCAAGCGCAGCGATAGGTGAACTGAAATTTGAACTGAACCAAGAAAAGCCGTCCAAAGTTGTTCGCTTTATCGTTTTCGTCTCAAACCATGGAAAACCACTCCGCCCCTTGGGGGGGGGGGAACAAAGATTCGTCGCTCTAGCACCCAAGGACATCGATGCACACTACAGATTTCAAGCGGGACAACGTCACGGCCGTCACGAGTGACGACGATTTCGGCACTCAAAGTCGTTCAGCTTTTTCTTTTTTGGCCAGGATCGTTAAGCTTTCTTTGTTGGGTCCACTCTTGACCACTAAAATAGGCCAGCCCATATATTGCCATTCAGTTTTTAGTTCATACAACAAAGTTGCGGGGGCAATCTCCCCTTTGCGAGCCCAAATAATGACAGGGAAAAATACATAATCTGGTAAAAGAGAAATTAACAGAACAATAATAGTTTTCCTCTTGGATAAAATATGTAGAAGGACCACAGATCTACAAATTTATGGGGAAGGATTTAGCTTAATAAGAGGGAGGGCATACTCGGAAGAAAAACTTTCAAAAACAGCTAAAAAATTACTAATTTGAACAGTTTTTCCTACTACAATTCTTTCTTTTTGAATTTTCTTCCCTTTTAAATAAAGAGTAATAGGTGTAGATGAAGATGTCTTCTCGCAGTTGGGAGCATGATTTAATTATAAATTCTGACAGTCTAGTTGTGAATATTATTATTTTATTTTTTGGCCAGCTGTGAATATTATGATTTTCACTTTTTCTAGCTACGATTATGAGATTGAGAAACCTTCCGCAGTTTGAAACTGATCTACTACTAATTTTGATATTTTGTTTTACAATTGGACTTTCATTTTTTCTCCTAAAAAAATCACAACATTTTACAAGGCTTTTCACAATTTATTGTGGATTTGTAATTAGATTTGTCATTTTTAAGATGCCTGCTCTCTGAACCCGGCTGCCATGCTTTGTGATTGTAGTTTTCTGTTTTCCGCTTCTCCTTTTCCCAGTAAATCCAGAACTTGTTTTGACTTAATGACTTCAGCTGAAAAATAAATCAGTCTCTTAAGTGAAAAGGGTTAGTTACCCTAATTTCTAACTGAAATTGATAATTAACTCGTATAAATAAAACAGAAGCAGAAAAGTTAATTTTTTTAAAAATTGATCAGTACCAGATTTTATTTTACAAAAAGAAACCAACATGGGAATTGGGATTGGAAAAATGATAAAGAAGTTGAAAATAATAACATCCCAATTTAAATACTTAAGACTTAAAGAGGTTAAAATCTTAAAAACAGAAGTAGTGCCCCGTATGATATTTTGCAAATATAATCAAATCATTAAAATGTCCTTGTATAAGTTTCTTTAAAAAAAAAGGTATCAAATTTTTTGTTATTGATTATTTAACTCTTGTCATTACTCTTTTACAACTTGTTGTTAAATATTTGTCATCATCAATATATTTCTTATTATTTGTTGTTACTACTTCTTATTATTAACTTACAACTTATTAATAAACTTTTTGATATAAGAATATTTTTGTTATTTAACTATATTTATAAAATACTAGATTAGATATTATTTCTTTTTTGTGGGATAATTCAAATATTGCAATTTTTGATTTTTTTTATACATGATTTTCCATTGGGACATTTGGATCCGGCGATTTGATGGTTCCGCCAAATTCGTGACACGTGTAAGGCTGTGACATAACTCATCTGTTTATATCAGCCCGCCATGTCAATCGGCTTCATTTCAGCTAGTGTTGCATCGTACTTTAATCAGGCCCATAAATTATTGCATTTATTTTATTAAAAAATTATCTAAATCAAAACAGACAACTCACTGAAAATTCAATCCCTTTTTTTTTTTTTAATTGTGCACATGCATCCTTTTTTTTTTAAAGGCGATTCTCCTCAATTGTTTGATGCAATGAATGTTGGAGGAAAAAACGTATATTTCTGTGTTATTTTCTGAAAAACATATCACTTCCGTCTTTAAATATAAAAATTAGTTAATAATCCTAATTATAAAATGTCAATTCAATTTATCTTTTAAATTTCTAGTGTGTGTTAAAAATATCTTCATTAATTATAAAATATTTTTATCTAAAAGTAATTTAAATATATATAATTAAATAAGAATAATTTAGAAAAGTTAATATATATTTGTTATAGATATCTAGTTTGATTAATTTTTTTTAATATTTTAAAATTAATTGGGTAGTGTTATATGATTAAAAAAATCCAGGTTTTTTAAATCAATAATTTTTTTGCCAGCTTTTAAATCAATAGAGTTTGCATGTGGACCCGTCCGAAATATCCGCAAAGTTCTCGATGGTTGACACGTGTATAACCCTTTCTGTCGGTGATTGGATCCAGCGCGTTTAAGATAATTACAAGCTTGCCATATTGGCCAAAAATATTACTAACTTGCCATTACCCGCCATAACTTCGTCTTCGTGACTCCATATTTGTCAGCCAACCACTTCTTCAACCCCATTGAGTTGCCAGGTGTACTGACTCACATTCGCGCACTCGCTTTCGCGAAATCATCATCTCGCTGAACATGGAGGATCTCATCAAGGGCTTGGCCGGAGCTGTTCTCGATCGCCTGGGCAATGACGAAGAGCCCAATTCCCAGTCCCGCGACGAACGCTCTAGATCCACTTGGGCCGAGGTAGCTGGCTCTTCTCTTCCATCGGATCATTAACATGGTATTTTAAGGTCGATGTTTCTTTGATCGGGGGATGAAATGTGTAGGTTGTGTCTGGAGATCAGGATAACGATGAAGGCCGGGGTGATCGCAGACATGGGTACCGTGGAAATAACTGGAACAAAGAGGTTTGCGCTTGGATTTGGTTTGGCATCGTAATCCTGTTTCTATGCGATATGAAATTGAAGTTTCCAAGCATAAAATTCTGATAAAATTCGAATTTGACTGGCAGGAGCAGTCTCGTCTGGAGCAGGAGAGGGAAGCCGACCGTTCCAGACTTTCAACCAGACCACACAAGGTGAAATCTTGTACTTCTTTTAAATCGATCTTGGGACTCTAATCGCACAACTGATGTAGAATGTAATTATAGTGACATTTTTATGTTGGTGATAGGAACAATATCGTCCAGAGCAGGAGAATTGGCAAGAAGATATTTACAAGACTTCGTACAAGCCTCATAAGGTGAAACGTCTTACTTGCTTAATTAATCATACTCCTTGAAGCAGAACACGCAATTGCGCGAACTATATTGTGTCTTTGTTGACAAATATGATCGTTTCAGGAACAGTATAGTCCCCAGCAGGAGGAGTGGGAGGCTGAGAATTGCAACCCTTCGAGCAGACCCCAAAAGGTGAAATTTTCTCCCCTTCTTTACATGATATTTGCAGACAGTTTGTCTTCTGCATTTTGAGCTATGTTTCTCTAGAGAAATAGATAAAAAAGTAAAAGGTATTTATCTTCCTTTTGGTAGACCAAAACGATACACGTTATCTCCATTTGCGTTTCAGCTTTTACGCGTGCATTGCGTTGTTGAAGATTTGGAGTGAGCTTGGTCCTTGTCCTCGCTCCTGCTTTTTGTCTATTTTAAAAATAATTTTATTTTTATTTTTTTCTTCAGCAGGATGAAGAAAATGACGATGGATGGGAGACTGTTGGCAAGAAACCTCCAAGGAAGTCACACAAGGTTTGTTCTTAATGGCGTCTTATAGGATGACTCGTGATGATTCATTTTAGGCAAAAGACATTGAACCAGCATGATCTATTTTCTCTCCAAATGATTTTCTTTTTTTTGGGGGGGGGGGATTCTTCTTCTTTTTAAGACTGCTTTTTTATGGTTCTGAACCAGAATGAGCTATACCAGCTGTCTGTGTATTCTACATATGTTTTGTGTGCTGGGAATCAAAACATGTCACTTAAACCGAACTAGCGAAAAAGTAGTTTTGTGAACTCTAACTGAATTCAGTGGCTCAAAAAATAAAAACTACATGAATTCTGATGCATTTCTTTAAATAACGCGTATTATGCTGGTAAAATTGTTACTAGGCATATTATATTAACTTGTTAGTCTGGGATGCAATCAGTCCAGATTATTTCATGCCGCAAAGCTCACTGAGAAGTACCTTATCAACTTGTTGACAGATCATAAAGGATCACTGGGGTGGTTACAAAGCACCTGCTGAAGAGCAAGAATACTCTAATGACGTTGAAATTGGTGCCGCTCTGGAGCCCTCTAAAGATGAACTTGCTGATTTCTCACAAGCTTGTAGTAAACTTTGGGATCTTGATTTAAACCGTCTGGTGCCTGGCAAAGATTATGAAATTGATTGTGGCGAAGGGAAAAGGGTTTCCCAGAATGAAGATATGGCGCAAGGGAACCTGTTTACTTGGGTTAGTGACGACGTATTCAGAAAGCCTACATTTGCTCGTTTTTGTTCACTTCTAGATAACTACAATCCTCAGCAAGGATACAAGGAAGTTGTCACATCTGAAGAGAGACAAGAGCAAGCTGCTTTCATAGAAGAAATCAGCAGAACAGCACCAATTAAATATCTTCACAAGTATCTTGTATCCAAGGGCATTGCATCAGGGAGTTACCAGGATTTTAAAAGATTGATTAGCAGTCTTTGGTTTGAACTTTACAGCCGAGGTGGTACTTCTGGTTCTTCTTCTGCATTTGAACATGTTTTTGTTGGAGAAATCAAGCAAAATGGAGAAGTTTCTGGCTTTCATAACTGGCTTCAGGTGTGTGACCTTGTATTCCTTCCAGGGGGGAAAAGATAAAAACTTATGGCAAATATCCAATTAGGAATCAGGAAATCATATATTTTTTTCTTTTTTGAGTGAAGGAATAAATCATATTTGAGTCCTTTATCAACCATCACTCTGACAATAGTCAAATATTAGAAGGCTCATGCATGAGGCAATTTTTGGATTGTGGATGTGTCCTATCCACTGGCATCGTAAATAGTATTCCATACCCATGGAGTGTAACTTTGGAGTCAACACAAGTAATACCTTCCCGCAGTCTTGTGTTGTCAGAGTTGGCTATAACTTATCTGCACTTTATTATTTACAATGGGGTTGATGCTTGTTCTATAAGGTAGTTTTTTTTTTTTTGGGTGAATTG